AACTTTATTAGTTTTAGCCGTTGGGAGGCAATTGATGCATAATTAGGAGGGAATTCGACATACCCTAATTAAAAACAGGTATATGGGAGGCAACTAGGCATTATCCAAGTGGATTAGTGCTCGTAAATAATCAGAGATATGAGATATTCAAGCTTTCGAGAAATGCGATGATTGTGCATGTCTAAATAGTCTTCCTGCTGACGCCCCCAAGATGACGATGATGATTAATTAAACTCCATTTCTAGGTTTCTGATTTTCTCAGAATATCTTGTGTAACTCTTCAATAATTGTTGGGGGGCCATCATCATCATAATCCTTTTAATTTCCTTCTTAAATGTTCTCCTTAAATCATCAAGTTATTCAGCAGGGGCGCATGGGAAACCTGTTAATTTAAAAATATAATGATTATGCGATAGAAATTATAAATTTTTTCTAAAAANACTTAAAATGTGGACAAAACTGTAAATGAAGATGCACTTGCTACAAAGGTAAAGCTTTGATATGGTTTATGCAGCTGTTAGCGCCTTTAAAAGCAGCCAAGAACAGATAGTACCTTCAACTGAAAGAATAAATACTACTACGATTATTGATACGCTAGAAGAACGTTCACTTGAATTAATCAGGGTGTAAACGGAGAAATTCAGTCAGTCCCCTGTCGGTTAAACCCTCGGACCTTCTATATTTCTGAAATGTTTGGTTAAATATCGACATTATTACGAACCTATTCTACATCGATTGGTCAAGCTTCTCATTATAAAACTTGATTAAAGTAAACTGACACCCACATAGATGGTGTCAACTAGGTGCAATCGAGAATAGCATGGTAAGTGCAGCAGTGCGGTTGAGAAACAAAATATTTATATGAAAACTTCAACAAGTCACAGTCCGAAACCAGTCCTGGGCGTGATTTGGCAACGTCTTTGTAGTACATCTTAATCTTTGAGTACAACTAATTCCCGGGTTCGATTCCCGGCGGGGGTGTGACAACAGCAACAACTTTTCCCTCATTAATTTGAGGTAGTGTGTAGTGGGTAAAAAATTCAGAAAGAATTTTCAGAATAATATTTCATATTAAACTAACTCACTTCAAAAAGATGTCTAAATTGTATGTATGTTTATTCGTTTTATAAACACAGGGTGTATGTTTAATAATGAGAAGAGCGAAAAGAAAATTATTACGGTCCTGATCAGGTTAGTCGATTTTAATATTCTGGAAGATTTATAGAGGTAACCTTTTTATCTTTTTGTCATTCCGGAAACGCTGTAAATTACCGATCGGTAATGTATCCTAAAGCTGCTACTGTTGCAGATTCGCGAGGTTCAAGATCCTTTTTACGGAAAGAAGGCCATAAATTTCTATTTAACGTACGAGGATCAATTCTCTGTTTCGAAACAGGATTAAATATTTGTTACATTTCCGTACGCTTTTCTTTTACACTTGGTCCAATACATAACCCAAATTAAAAAGCTACATTCAGATGTTTTTTTTTTTTTTAGAAATTATGTGCTCAGTGAAGATTATGACCAATTTTCTTGTTTTTGTTGCATTTAACGAGACCTGTTTAAAGACGTCCTACTCAATTGATTAGTAAGGAAATTATTATTATAGTGCCTACCATAGTAAAATAAAAAAAGATAAGTGTGTAGTCTAAAGGAAGAAGAGAAAGAATTGAAAAGAATAAATATAGAGGAATTTGATAATAAAATGGATAAATAGGATAGGTTAATGAAATTAGTGGAAGACAAAGAAAAAAAATTAGAAAACGTGAAAAAAAAATGATGAAAAACAAAAAAAATAGATTTACAAGAATGAATAAGATGGGAGAATTTGGAACAAAAGTTGGATAAAACTAAAAAAAAGTAAAAGAATAAAGGAAAAGATGAAAGAAATGACCAGGGGAAAATTACAGGAAATTGATGAAATATTGGACAAATATAATGAAGAAAGTGTTATGAGGAAAAAAAGTACAGAACAGTTTGAAAAAAGAATTGAAAGAAATGGTACTTGAGGAGAAAGAGATTGAAAAGCGTGTAGAGTAGCAGGCGGAGGAACAAAAGAAAAAAATAAGAAGAATAGAAATAGAATTGGAAAAGAAAAAGGAAAGAAAGGAAACTAAGCGTGATAATTTTGGGAATATAGTTGGAGGAGTTTTATTCTAAAAAAAAGGGAATTGAAAAGAATCATAAAAGATAAGATAGGAGTGAAAGTGGAGAGTTAAAAAGAAGGTGTATGAGACAAAAAAGGACAAGTGGAAAGACAAGATGCAGGTGATGAAAAACGGTAGTAGTATGAGGGGACGCAGGTGTATATAAGAGATGATTTAAAGATGGACGAGAGAAGAATACAGAAGATGTTAGAACAAATGGTAAAAGAGGGGAAAAAAAATGGATAAGACAGTTAAAGTTGGGTACAAGCCGATCATAATAATAGATGTGGTAGTATGAGTATGACCATAAAAAAAAAATAGGAAAAACAAAGGAGGTAAACGGCTACTTAATAGGGAATAAGAAGGTAGGTGAGGGGATCGATGGGGAAAAAGAATAGTCTTAAAAATGTAAAAGTATTGGCTTGAAATGTGGCGGGAATAATGAATAAAGACAACAACTTCTGGATTAATTTAAGAATAATATATTAGGTGTTGCAGTACGTAGCCTGTATTAATTGTGGTGTAATGTTTTTGTATGTTTGTGTATGATTAACTTAAAGTTATAATAGAGATTAAAAAAAAGATAACTCTAAACACTTACAACTTCAATCAACCACATCTTCGTTATTTCTATGATTAATAATGATATTATAGGTATAAATGTAGATAACTGTTAGAGTTTCGTAGTAACAATTTTGTCGGCATCTTTACCGTCCAATCATTTGTTTTGGAAGACACAGGTGGTTTAAGTGGCAATCACTTACACTTAGTCAAAATTTAACAGCCTTTGCCTGACAAATTGATTGATCACTCTATTTCACACATGCTTCCGATGTACCATCAAACGTCAGCTGATATGTAGAAGGAAGATTTATGAAATTCTACCCCCATAACGTTTTCGCAATTAACCAAATTCGCACACCTTTTCGTATATAGGAAAGCACCAACATTAATAAATCTATTTCAATTTATATCGAAATATATGTAACATAATTATATCAGTACTCTTTGTTAATTAACTGAGCGTAAACGATTCAATTAAACTCAAAGCAATGGATCACATATAAGGATAGAACGCTTTCAATTATTAAATAATGTATACATTTCCTAGGAATTGTATGAAATTCCGATATTGTACTAGGAAATGTATAGAACTGATGTACGAGGATGCGTTTTTAAGTTGGCGGAATGGGTGGGTAGGTCAATAGTGAGAAAAAAAAACTTTAAAAACTTTTGGGTGTTTCATTCCCACCAGCCAGTAATGCTGGTGGGCGGGCAGTCCCTCCGTACTACGCCGGAAGGTAGGGCGGAAGGCCCTCTTCAGCCTGCTTTCAGGAATCGTGGGAATGGGTGGGTAGTGGTTCGGGTGGGAAAGTTGAGACGGACGAAATGAAGACCGAAGGGAATGAAAGATTATCTGTGGAATATTACTGACCCAGCATTTGCCTAAGTGATTCAAGGAAACCACAGAAAAACTTGGACCAAGGCAGACGAACCCGGAATCGAACCGGCCTCCTCCCGAATGCGAAGCAATGGTCTAAACCTCTAGGCCATGCCGCTCGGTCAATAGTGAGGATACTTACTCGAATCAGTACGAATTAAGCAACTCATTATTACTATAAATACCAAGTTTTATCGTAATTAGATCAATAGTCTTTGAACTATCGTCGACCAAATAAGTCACTCGGGAACAAATTGTGAAATATGGAGAAAATCGAGTACTGGGCTATTATAACGTTCTTTACCAAGCAAACAAAATCAGTTCAAACCATACTGGAAGAGATATCATTCGTTTATGAGGACTCTTGTCCAGGTAAATCATGGTTTACAAGTGACATACCCTCTTTAAGCAAGGCAGGGACTCACTTGAAGACGACTAACGACCAGGCCAACCGATCGAGGTAACCACTCCGATAATCATTTAAAAAGTCGAAAAATTAATACTGGAAGATGCCCGACTTAAGAAGAAACAGCTCGCAGAAATGGTACGAATATCAAATACAATCATTTTTAAAATTCTTGACGGTTATCTTGGCATAAATAAAGTCAGCGTAAGATTGGTGCCGAGAATGCTTACTTCGCTTTAAAAACAACAGCGTGTGGAGCTGGACCTCTATAGTAAAGATATAGATGGAGTACTGACTCGAATTATAACTGGGAACGAAACTTCTGTACATCATTATGAACCTGAGTTCAAACAGGACTCCATGCAGTGGCATAAAAAAGGCACACCACCCACAAGAAGTTTAAGGTGTCACAGTCGACTGGGAAAATTATGGCGACAATCTTTGGGATTCAGATGAGATCCTTTGATCAATTACAAAGATAAAGGTGTCTCCATAACTGAAGAATACCATGCTTCAATCCTTAAAGGAAGTAGTTAAAGAAAAAAGAAGATGAAAATTGCAGCAGAAGGTAGGCTTCGATATTTTAACTCATCCACCCTACAGTCCTGACCTAGCTCCCAGCGATTATTATTTATTCCAAAACTTGAAAAAAGGTCTTCGTGGGAAGAAATTTTCAAGCGACGAAGAAGTGAAGAATGCAATTTCTGCATATTTTTCAGACAAAGACAAAACATTTTTTTTCGAAAGTTAATTGAAAGATCGGAAAAATGTACAGATAATAAGGATAGCAGGTGAATATATTGAAAAGGAAAAAAAAATTCGTACTTTTATTTTCTTTTCTTACCCCCCCCTCATTCTGCGAATTCTAGACTTCATACATTTCCGGTAAAATATATAAGTAATCTACAACTTTTGGTGGCATTAGGAGGTTAGATATACCCACTATCGGGGTACAAATTAGTAAAATATACTTAATTGTAAGTTAGAAAAATTTAAATTAACTTACCTTTCGACTTCTTTACAGCCTCTCCAGAGGCTTTTGACGATTACTAACTGCTTTTTATGAAATGATGATCCTCCATTAAAGTCGGGAAGACCATCCGCTTCACAAAGGTGGACCTGAAACAATTATAAAGTGGGTAAGAACGTTAAGGGTTTTTATTTAATATACGGGACATTCTTTTACAAACCGGACAGATTTGGACAAAAATTGTTCGGCACATTTTCGTGTAATATTATAAATGTCAAAAAGTAAGTCTGTCTATCCTTTGTACTATCTCTCCCAATGTTGAATTTGGAACTCTGGTCGCTTTCATTGAAACAGTTCTAGTAAGACTGTCTGTTACGTTTTCACGCTTAAACCGCGAAACCAATTTTCATTAATTTTGGTACAGAGATAGGTGGGACCTATGAGAAACATATAAGCTACTTTTTGTTGCGAAAATAAAATATGAAAGGGATAAAATAGGGAATGAAGGTTTGTCTATCTATACTAACCGCATATGTACATATACCCAAAACAAACCACGTAAGGATGCTTGTATCCTGTACGCCTCCTTTTGGGAATCGTGTGAATGAGAGTGTATTTGGTGGTTGGGATGAGAATAATGAAACGGACGAAATGAAGACAGAAGAGAGTGAATGATTACTGTCCCTCCATTAAGTAATACAACAAATAATAGGGAGAAAAGCATTTGAAACAATTCTATCTAACAAAATTAATTTCGAAATGTTATTCATTAAAATATTCCGGAAATTCTCAATGGAATGTGCTAACTTCGTTGGAATTATTTAGTCTAATATGGATCTATAGTCAGTGTACGTACATTTATGTAGGTACATATATTTTGGCATTTCATTAATTTAAATGGTATTTTGCTGGAACAGAGATGTTCCATGTATAAGTAGATCCACGTGTAGGTACCTGTTTACTGATGGTCCGGAAATTCAAAAGTGTCGGTCATTTTCGAACGTGCAAAATCCTCTCACATAGCGGAAATTTATTTCCAATATCAAAATAAAGCACTTAACGTCGAATCGCATTACTTATGGTGGGTAGAAAGGGTTGAAAAACGAGTTCAATATCGCAGGGGTCTTTAACCACGATCGATAACATAAAAACGACAAATAAATGAGATACATACTTTTTGTAACAACAAAACAAAGGAACCCGAAGTAAATATCTGCCGAAATAAGGGTACAAAATACTTTTTGTTAGCATAAGTCGTTTAACATGCGACCATAAAGAAGAAAAAGAGATGATAGAACATGAACGTAAAGATTGGTGGATTCGTCTGGCATAATTTTGACATCATTGTTGAATAAAAGATCGGTAAGGTTCCCATAGCTTTTCTTCACACAAAAGAAAGTGGTTTTTAATAAAATTACCAATAATTGAGACGCTAATGCGTAAGTAAAAACTATGTCTTGTCAGACTAGTTTTGGTCTTACGTAAATTAAAGACTAAGACTGTACTTATATTGAAAATATCAAGACTAAGACCGAGGAAGACTAAACGAAAAATTATTACTTCCAGTGGATTTGTGAGTTAAATTATTTGAGGCAACTTTAATAAATCCTTTTTTTGAAACAAAAAATTTATTTATGAAGTATCGGTGAAACGTGTGGGTTTAGTTTATAACAGACTTAGGACAATTTAGAAATAGTTTGTAATTTTAAGAGTCTAGAGCGTAAGTATTGTTAGGATAAGCAACAAAAATGTTGTACAAGAAATTCCCGAATCATCTGCTAGGTTAAAACTTTTTTTTTTAACTTTTGGCTGTTTCATTCCCACCAGCCAGTAATGTTGGTGGGCGGGCAGTCCCTCCGGACTATGCCGGAAGGTAGGGCAGAAGGCCCTCTTCAGCTTGCTTTCAGGAATCGTGGGAATGGGTGGGTGGTGGTTCGGGTGAGAAAGATGAGACGGACGAAATGAAGACAGAAGAGAATGAAAGATTATCTGTGGAATATTACTGCCTCAGCATTTGCCTAAGTGATCCAAGGAANTGTATGTAGTATCGGTGAAACGTGTGGCTTTAGTTTATAACAGGCTTAGGACAATTTAGAATTAGTTTGTAATTTTAAGAGTCTAGACCCTAAGTATTCTTAGGATAAGCAACAAAAATGTTTTACGAGAAATTCCTGAATCATCTGCTAGGTTAAAACTTTTTTGAGTCTTATTTAAGAGCTTGGCAGCTAGTCGCAGTCAGAGTTGAATCAGTTCTTGAAGACAACCAGTTGTGGGAGCTCGGTTCTGTACAATTTCATGTATCATTGCAATATTTTTTTATGTCGTTAATAAACACTTCAATATTCCAAACATCTTTTGACTCCACTATCAATAATCCCACCTGTATTCGAAACTTTCAGTTTTCTTTACTAGATTTTAACACCTTTAGCACTGTTTGAAAAAGGATTTACAAGAATGTCCTCGATGTTAGTCTTCTTTGTTCCTGTGACTGGATAACACATGGTTGAAATATAGAGACAAACTATTTTCTTTTTCGATATTTTTACTTCTTTGACGTTGGAGGAAGGACCAATTCATGCATTGGAGACAGAGTGTCTATGTTCTTGAGTTTTCATAACTCTTACAACTATCGATACCACTAAGATCTTATGTATGAGAGACAGATTCATGAACAAGGTCAAGACTAAACATGTAAAACCAAGACGAAAACCGAGACTACATAAGCAATATAAGAACAAAGGCTTTCAAGGCCAGAATCCATAGTAGAATGAAGATTCGGGCTGTAGGGCCAGACGTTTCGTCGGCTACTGCGGCTGACATCCCCAGTGGTAGCGCTGCGTTGACAACGTGAACGTCTACGAAACGTCTGGACAGAATAGTTCACTTAGACCACGGCCCTATGACCGGAATCTTCATTCTACTATATAGGCAATACCAAGACTAAGATAAATACCAAGACTAGAGGTATTTGAGCAAGACCAAGACTGAATAAGCAAGGCCAATACACTAAGACAGAGATGGTCGTGTGACATAGTATCCATACATTCATATTCAAGTCACTGGTACAAAGTTGGTACATCTAAAGTTTATTTAAAACTGCAAGCACCTACTTACCTACTGTGTCAGTCGGACAATTAGCAATCGTTTAAAAGGCGAAATCAATAATTGTAATGAATAATGTCAAGAGAAATGAAGTCGAGAGTTGCAGAGATGCAAGGTGGTGAGGCGGATTAGCGTGTTACGAGAACTTAAAAACCCGTTAACGCATCAAGATCTTTAATAACAACCTAGATTTTGTTTTCCGGAAGATGAAAGGAAACGGCTTTGGAATCTGTTTGATAGAGAAAAAACCGCCAGCAAAATGACCATTAAAAGACAAAACACACACCCCCAATTCGTATTAACGACACGTCTGCGTTTTCTCAACATCCTTTTAGACTTTATTTAGAGCAAGAAACCGTCAGATACTTAAGTGTTAACATTGGTTCGTTTATTACGCAGATTGCCGCTTCGATGTACTTATGAGGCAAAGAAAATGGCTTGGCGTTCCTGTTTATTTTGATTATTTTCCTTTAGAGCTTCTCGTATATAAATACTAAATTCAGATACATCTACAAGTATTTTCCACGCTCTATATCATAAAAGCAAATAAACTTCGTTTCGCACAGTTATTTCGATATGAAATTGGAATATTCAGAAACGTCTCTGAGGACTTAAATTGGAACGGTTTCTTTATGTGCACAACCTCGCGAGTCAATATTTATGAAGACGCGAAAAAAGTTCCGCACGCACTGACTTACTTATACACACACATGTGTATGTGTATACCTACCTATGATATAGTATATGTATACGTACCTACTTATAGCGAATACACATAAAGTTTAAGCGCATACGTTCGTACACGTTTCAGAATCGTTCAATACATTTTTATATTTATAAATGACTGTATTTGAATGCACGACGTATGCAATAGCCGAATATTTACAAGCTTTGAGCACCAGCATTTTATTTATTGCCGATGGCAAATAGTATCTGTGTAGGTATGTAGGTGAACTCATATGGAAGAGTTGTTTTTATTCAAATTTTTTGTTTTCCGCTTAAACAACCTCGTTGTTGGAGAATGAAAATGTGTACCTACATGGGATGTTGCATGATAAGTGGTCGAAAATATATGGAATAAAATGTGGAGATTTAAAGATCATTATGTAACTTGTGCTGTTTAAGACAAAGTTATTGGATCGACGGCTCATAGCCGTATTTGGATTTTTATTTACAAGAACGGAATCTTAAAAATCAATAAATACTACCCTAGACAAAAATTTTCAGTCTCTCTCTAGTCTCTCAGAGTCTTTCAGCGTCTCTGAGAGCGTCTCTCACAGTCTTTCACAGTCTCTCAGTTATTGCCTAGGTGTTTTTATAGATCTCTCACAGTCTCTGTATGAGAGACTCGAACGATAAAATTGTTAATTCAAAGATTCGAGTCTCCCACAGAGAGACTGAATGAATAAAACTGAAAAACTGAGAGACTCGAGTCTCTCGTTCAGAGACTGGATACGAAATGAGGATCTCTCTATGAGCGACTCGAGTCTCCGTTCAGAGACGCTAAACATTTTTTTTGACAGTCTCTCTCGGTGACACCAAAGAAACTCGATGAGAGACGGAAACTCGAGTCTCGCTTTCAGAGACTCTGAGAGACTGAACATTTTTATCTCGGGTAACGATAGAGTTTTCCTTAGAAATTCATAAAGCTTAAAATTTGATTGTTGTAGGACCGTCTTCATGAATGAATAAAAAATCAACTGCTTTTCCGAGATGGGGCATATGGAAATTTTACAGAAATGAATATACGGGTAACTAGCCGAAAAACTAGCAATGTAAGTGGAAAACGTCCCCTTAAAACACCACCGGAAAATACCCCTTGTGATAATCTCAAATGAACCATCTGGCAGAACCAATAGAGTGATTTTTTGGCTCCTGCCATTTGATTTTTACTAATGATTTGGGCATGAGGCGGGTCGCTGCGAAATTCATACTAAAATTGCTCGACCAAAAACAGTATCGCATTAACGACGACCCAAATTTGTCCAGAGGGTCATAACTGGTGACGAATCATGGATTTATGATAATGACGTGAAAACCAAAGCTT